TGCTTTTAATATTCAATTATCTAAAATTTTATCTGAAATTCATTTTTAAATCAATTTTTATTAGAAAATTCTACGAGAATCCAATTATTTAAATAGAAAAATAAATAATTTATTGAATAATTTGAATATATTTTAAAATTGAATTCGATAATTTTGAAAAATAGTAAAATTCTTTATAGGAATTCGATTATTTTCAAAACAATTTTTAATTTTAATAAAATTTTACAAAAGAATTCAATTATATTTAAAAATTTTTTAATACAATTTTTCAAAAGCATTCAATTATTTCCTCAAATTTTGATAACATTCCACGAACGGTTTCAATTTTTTTTTACAAATTGTAAACAAATTTTCCTAAAAAATCCAATTATTCGTAACAGTTTTGATAAAATTCTTTGTATATTTCAATTACTTTCAAACTTTTCAATTAAAATTATCAAAAAAAAACTACATTATTTTCAGGCAATTAAAAGAACTTCTTCAAATGAATTTAATCTTTTTTCGAAAACTAATGAAATTGTTTAAAAAAAATAAAATTTTTTATCAATAATTTTACTAAAATTCTTAAAAACAATTAAATTTATTAATATCAAACAGTCAATTATTTAAATAAAACTTTTAATAACCTTCTGTGGAAGAATTCAATTATTTTTATAAAAATGAAAATAATTGAAAAATAATTGAATTATTGCGAAGAAATTTATAAAAAAAAATTAATATATAATTGAATTCCTGTGAAATTTTCAATATTTATGTAAATAATTAATTGTTTGCGTAGAATTTTATTAAAAATTTTATTTAAATAATTGAATTCTTTTGGAAAACTTTTTTAAAATAGTAAATATTGATAGTCATTGAATTGGGGAAAATTTTTGAAAATAATTGAAATTTTGCTAAGAATTTTATTAAAATTTTTGAAAGTAATTGAATTTTGGAGAAGAATTTTATTATTTATAAAAGTAATTGAAATTTTGACTTGAATTTTTGAAAATTTTTGAACATAATTCAATATCTGGGAAGAATTTTATTACTTTTGAAAATAATTGTATTTTTGCGATCATTTGTATAACTTCTCCAAAATTCAATTTTTTTTTAGTGTTTTTAACAAAAATTCTTCTGTAAATTAAGTATTTTTAATAAATAATTAAAAATATATTTTGAAATTTAACTAATTTCCGAAGAATTGGAATTATTAAAATTTTTCAAAAATCTAAGTTCTTCAAAATTTCTAATTAAATTTATTCAAAATTGGAATTTTATAAAATTTCAATTTGTAACCTTTTGAAGTTAATCTACTTATAAAAATTGTACACACAACTCTTTTTAAATTCAATTAATTTTGAAATATTTAAGTAAAATTATTCATTAAATTCATTAAATAATTTATAAGTAATAATTTTATGATAGTTCTTCAAGAATTAAGTTAATTAAAAAAAAAATTGTTGTCAGAAATAGAAAAAATTGAAGGTTTTATTTCAGAATAAAAGAGAAATTCAGAATTTTCTTATAAATTCTAAAAATTTAATTTTTTTCCAGTACTTTTAATAAATATCCCTGACTTTTCCCTGATTTCCCAGACCAATTTCAGTTTTCCTGACTTTTCTGACCTGTGGCAACCCTGATTTACAATTAAAGACCTCGGAAAAATCGAAATATACTCAGAATTTTTTACAAAAAGAAATTCTCCTAACTCTAAAAATTTTGATGAAGAAAGGAGTATCAAACTTTTCCGAAATCTGTTACAGACTTGTAAACAGAAAGAAACGATAGGCATAAAGGAAAAAAAAATCTCGGAAAAAGGAAGAAGAAACGAGATTGATTGCGCACAAAAAGGGGCATTTCAGTGGGACGAGAATTCGAAATGTAGAATATTTTGTTAATATTCAGTTGAATGCTTTTGAAGAAGACAACTAGGTAGAAACTCGTCGACTTGGATATATCGAACTTGTAAGAATCCATCTTTTCAATCCAAGTTTGGGCCCCCGCCTCGTTTTCAACCCGTGTGTGGGTACAACTTCGGCCACAATAAAGCCGAAGAAAGAAGAGATTCTCTTCTCAGAATCGCACCATCAGATACGCGTCTAGACTAAAGTGGCGCCACAGGACCCTGGTGGACACCACGTTAACTGCACTTCATATTTCTGAAACAACCCTGAAGAAAATTCTTGAATAAAAAATACAAATTCTCAACTCAAATCCTAATTCCAAAATTCTCATCTGATGAAAATGTAATTTAATTTTCTTAAACTATTTTTGAGAATTATATTCTTTATACACAAAGAAGAAGTTCTTTATACACAAAGAAGAAGGTTCTTTATACATAAAGAAGAAGTTTATAATAATAAAGTCGGCAAGGCTCTAAAGAATAAATTATTCCGAGAAAGAAATTAATTATCGAATATCATCAGGAAAAATAATTATTATGTCGATATGGAAAAATAATTTTCACCGCTTTCAATTTTGATGGTGTCAAGCAAGGTTTGAGTATTGTCGTGCTTGAAAATTAAATACGTGCTAAAGACAGGCAAGTTTTAAGGTATATAAGGCCTGGGTGAAGCGTTTTGAGTGGGGGCTTTGGAATGCGCGGCGCCTAGGGCTCGTTGGATTCCAGGGCCACACGTGCCCCCTGCTCCTCCCCCGCCACAAACCATTGCCAGTAAACTTTGCCTCCGGGTAGTCGACGCTTGCGACCACCATGGAACTCATTCATGAGCGCGCACTTCCTACCACACAACAACGATTCCACCGCAACCAATTCTCTCCTCGAATGATGCAAGAAGAATTCTTCTTCAGACTCTTCAGCTCTCTAGCTGCTGCTACCATCTCTTGGTAAAACGTTCAGATTCATCCTCTGAATATCATTCTTTCATACGTATAATAATCGTGAAGAAAATTCTTCTGATAATAAAAATTATTATCCATAGATTATTTTTTTTTTATTACCCATCGATCATTTTTACTAGCTATCGATTATTTTATCTATTTGAAAAACAATTTGAAATTATGAATCCATTAGGCTTCGCACTTGATAATTATTTTTTAAAAAAGTATCAATTAATTAATTAACTATCTATAATATTTATTAATTAATTAATTAACTATATTAATTTCAATGTTCTTTCATTCTTCGGTTTATTAACAATTCTTAGTCAAAAAATTTTTTACTGGTCCTAACTTGTTACTAGAACAATTCCAATTAATATCTGGGTCATCAAAAGTAATTTAATTCCCAATTCATAAAAAGTAACCACAGCCGATAATCAGCAGAAGATGAAAAATTATTTTTTGAGCGAAGTTTACCTTCTGTTTACTAACAATTTAGAGTACAAAAATTGTTTACTGTTCCCAAACTATTGATAGAACAATTCTAATTAATATCTAGGCCATCAAAATTAATTTAATTCCCAATTCAACAAATTTTAATAACAATTTTTTAAATTCCTCTTTTTTCAGATTTTCTAAATTTAACTATTCAAAACTTGAACAATTTTTCTTAAATAAATATTTTCATACTTATTGTTATTTATTTTTCCTGCCATATCGCTTATAATTTTCAATTATTTTCTAAAATTTAAATTAAACTCAATTTTAAATTAATTCTTACTAGAAAATTTTAGAAGAATGCAATTATTTAAATACAAAAATAAATAATTTATTAAATAATTGAAGATTTCTGAGATTAAATTCTAATAAAGAATTTTATTAAAATTTTCGACAATACATAATTGAATTCTTTCGAAAAATTTTATTAAAATTTAAAAGATAATTGAATTTATTATTTAAATTCTATTAAAAATAATTGAAATCCTGCGAAGAATTTTATTATTTATGGAAATAATTGAATTATTTCAAGGAATTCTTAAAAAATGTATTGAAAATAATTGAAATTCTGCGAATAATTTTATTATTTATGAAAATATTGAATTTTTTCAAAAAATCATATTAACTTTTTTTTAATATTAGATTTCTTTCAAAAAAATTTGAGTATTTTTGAAAATAATTTTTTCTAAATAATTGAAATATTTAGAAAAAATTTAATAAAATAGTAGATATTGAAATTAATTGTATTTCATCGAAAATTAAAATAGTAGATATATTGAAAATAATGAATTCACGTGCAAAGCCTTTTCTAGAGAAAATTTCAAAAATAAAATTATTCAAAATTTCAAAACAAATTATTCCAAATTTGTTGATTTTGATAATCGATTTTTTTTATTTGAATCGAAAAAGAATTTTTAAACTTTTTAGAAAGTTTTATCCTCGGTTTTTCAAGAATTAATAGATAAACGAATTATTCTCAATTTGACCTGATCGATTTTTATCAATTCTATTTTTGAAATAAATTTCCTCTTCTTTACTGCTGTGATGAATTCGAAAGAAAAGTCCAACTATTTTTTTATCGAAGGAAGAATAAATGAAGATCCTGCGAGCAAACCCTATAATTTAAACTAAAATTGCAATTAGTATAGAATTATACACAAATAGAAAAGTGTAGGAGAGAAGAAAATATTTTCCAATTTCTAATATTTATATTGAATAATATTAAATATTGATTAATGATTGTAAAAAAACGAAAATTGAAAAACCAATTTTTCCCAAGGTAAAGCACGTGTACCTCATTTTTTTACGAGCAAAAGAAATGAGATTATTGTAAGAATTACCGTAAGTGAATGTTCATAATGAGGCAATAATCATCTACAGTAACATGACGTTAATTGTTTTTTAATGAATGATAAATATCTTTAATGTACTCAACATTTTTAAATGTCATAAAACTCCTGTTTACTGCCAAGTTTATTTTCGAATTTATTTTTTCGAATCGAACAAATTCTGTATTACGATTGTCAATATATTTTTCCCTCTCAAGTAGATATTAAATTAATTAATCAATTATTTAATTATTCAATGAATGAATTATTTAATTCTTGAATTAATTAATTATTTAATTATTAAATTAACAAATGGAATTTTAGTTAACTTTTGAAATTAAATTTTCTTACCTTGCACTTTCGAATGTTGCCGAAACACTGCTTCCAATTGCTCCAAAACCAACACCTACGGCAAGACCTTCAGGAATATTGTGAACCTTAAAAGAAAAAAATTATTACTATAAAAATAATTATTATACATCTTAGAAATTGTACTTATTAGTTCTCATTAGTTATTATACTCATAAGTTATTTATTCATAATGTATTATTAAAATCAGAATTGTTGAATTAGATTCAATAGAAAGAAATTTATGAAAATTAGAATCTAATTGATCTGAATGTCATTGTTTAACAATTGATATGAATTTTTTTTTGTTTCTCTTCTTTTTTATATAAAGAGAGTTTACGAGAGGGCAAAAAATTTTTATTAAGTGAAATTGGACGGCCACTTAAAAGCATTCGTTCGAAACTCCTACTTAAATTTCAATCTATTTAACTTTCATGCGATAATTTTATACTAACGGTGATTGCAATGACCAAGAGCAATATTCTTCGCCATTGATTATTTTTTGATTCATTTCCAGGATCCTCGTAGATTGTTCCAATTTCTCCCGATTCCGTTGGTCTTTGAATTCCACTCGTTGGTCTTCTTCTTGTACTCTGTTCATAAAACCCTGTAAAAAAACATATACATTATGTTTTCTCTCTACTTTTCTTTCTTAGTGGAAAAAAAATAAAATAAAAATTTCAATCACACACGCGCACTCAATTAATCATGCTGAAAAATTTAAGCTATTTTTTTCATGTTTCTTATATTACCAATAATCCAGCTTACGAAGTGAAAAAGAAGACACTTATCTCTTTAAGTAAATAGTATGCATTTTTTTTTTTTTTTTTGCTGCAGGCGTGAGTAACAAGATCAGTCAATGCATGAAACTCTTTCACAGTAGAGTAATTTGAATACTATTTATTCAGAGAATTAATTACCCATGGAATGATTTCGTTTCCTGATTTTTACTTTAAGGCAAAAATTTTGTTAAATTACAAATGTCATTTCAAGGTTTGTTTGTTTATTTTCTACAAGGTTTATGCGATTTTAATTTGTGTCACTGGTTATTGTTAAATGAGCTCTAAAGGCGTCAATAGCTTATACGGAATATTCAATTGTTAGAATAAATTAAGTCTACGTAATTAAGTGTCATGCAATTTTCGTATACACCGAGAGCCAAACGTTTATAAAATTGCATGCATTATCCTGATGACCAAAAAAAAAAGAAACTCTTGCTTCTTATCAGCATTTTTTCATAAAAAATAAAACTTGTCTTAGTGACAGTTTTCGAAAAAATAAGTACTTATTTATTATTATTATTATAAGTATTTATTTTTGAAAAACTGATAAAATCAAAGAGGGGCGAGTATATACGGACGTTTTTTTTTAGAACTGATTTCATTGTTCAAGCCTACAGTATGAAGAACAAAAATTTGTTGTTTTTTACCAATAGAAAAAAAAAGTGAATTATTTGCAATACCATCGATTGTGGTCGATTCATTATGCGAGTACTTATTGCGGCCAGAATTTTGCTTTTCACTAACTAGATGGTTATCGTCTAAGTCCTCGTCACTCTTTAGTTTTGCAAGAGTCTTGCTTCTTTGTTTCGTACCGACTGATTGCATTGCTAATAGCACATTGGGGGACTGAATGCCAAGGGTGGATATCAACACGTCCGTTCCATAAACAAATGCAGCGCCAAGAAGAAATCCAATGCCAACAGGTACAAATGCAAATTCTCCCTCGGCTCCATATAATTTGCTCTCTTTTGCCATTTCAATTGCCGGTGACAATAGTGACCAATAACTTGCTGCTATCATAACGCCAGCGGCAAATCCAAGACTGGAATCCAGAAGTTTACGCTGCAAGAGGAAAAAAAGAAAAATTTAATATTCTATTGAAAAATAAATATTTTTTTTAAGGAAAAAAAAGAAGTGTATTTTCGCTCTATTTTGTGCATCTTTGATCTGATTTGTTTGAATGATTAAGATATTGACTTTTTTCCAACAAGGTTACTTCTTCTGTTATACGATATTTAGTGCATTTAAAAACAAGGTTCTAATAAAGTCAATGAATAGAAACTATAATATAAAAATTAGAAATACAATTATTTAATCTAATCTTGTGTTTCAATGATTATACATAAAAATCACTATTACTGATAAACTTTTGTCAATTCCGTCACATTGTTCACAGTAGATTATTATAATTATCATTACTCAACAAATATTATTATTTTTTTTTTTACTTTCATTTCTTTATTTTCTTCTTTTTTAGGGTTGCCACAAAAATTAAATTTTGATTCTCCCTGAGTTTTCCCTGATTTACAGACAAAATTTTATTCTTTTCCCTGACCCCAAAGAATATTCTTCTTTAAATCAATTATTCTTAATCATTTTTGAAACAATTCTTTCAAAATATTCAAATCCATTTGTAAAATTCAATTTTACAAAATTTCGATTAATTAAAAAAATATTAAAGTAAATATATGTTAGAAAATAAAAACTTTAAATAATTTAAAAAAAAATTCCAACTTTTTCAAAAAAATTAATTCTACAAAATTATTAGCTTAAAGTACGAAAAATTCCGATTTTTAAAGACATAAATTTGAAACCTTTTCAAAATTCAATTATTATCTGAATTGTAAATAAAATTCAGATTTTATTTTTGATAAAAAATTCTACAAGAATTCAATTATTTAATTGTAAAAATAAATAATTTTTTGAATTATTGAATGCTTCTTAACATTCAATTCCCATAAAGAATTTTATAAACAAATTTTTAAGTAATTGAATTTTTTCGACGAATTTTAATATAATTTTTAAGAATTTACATTTTTTCAAGAAATTCGATTAAAATATTGTATTCAAAATAACTGAAATTCTGCGATGAGTTTTGGTATTTATGAAAATATTTAAATTTCTACAAGGAAATTAATTATTTATAACAATAATTGAATTCCTATAAAAATTTTATTATTTATGAAAATAATTGAATTATTGCGAAGAAATTTATTTAAAAAATTGGTAAATAATTAAATTCCGGTGTAATTTTTACTATTTATGAAAATAATTAAATGTTTGCGTAGAATTTTATTAAATTTTTTTAAATAATTGAATTCTTTTGAAAAATTTTATTATCATACCTAGATACTAAAAATCATTGAATTTTGGGAAATTTTTGAAAATAATTGTAATTTTGCCAAGAATTTTATCAAAATTTTTGATAATAATTCAATTCTTTTGACGAATTTTAATAAAATTTTTAAAAGTAATTACATTTTTCAAGGAATTTGATTAAAATTGTAAAAAAAAATTTGTAAATAATTCAATTTCTCAGAAATTTTTATTATGTATGAAAATAATTCAATGTTTGCGTAAATTTTATTAAATTTTTTTTAAATAATTGAATTCTTTTGGAAAATTTTATTTAAATTTTTGAGAATAATTGAATTTTGGGGAAAATTTTTTCTTATTTATAAAGATTATTGAATCCCTGTGAAAATTTTATTATTTATGAAAATAATTGAATTATTGCGAAGAAATTTATAAAAAAAATTGGTAAATAATTAAATTCCGGTATAATTTTTATTATGTATGAAAATAATTCAATGTTTGCGTAAATTTTATTAAATTTTTTTTAAATAATTGAATTCTTTTGGAAAATTTTATTTAAATTTTTGAGAATAATTGAATTTTGGGGAAAATTTTTTCTTATTTATAAAGATAATTGAATCCCTGTGAAAATTTTATTATTTATGAAAATAATTGAATTATTGCGAAGAAATTTATAAAAAAAATTGGTAAATAATTAAATTCCGGTACCTATAATTTTTATTATTTATGAAAATAATTAAATGTTTGCGTAGAATTTTATTAAATTTTTTTAAATAATTGAATTCTTTTGGAAAATTTTATTAATATACCTAGATATTAAAAATTATTGAATTTTGGGTTAATTTTTGAAAATAATTTTTTTTTTGGAAAAAAAAAGTATCATTTGAAAATTCTTCAAAATTCAATTATTTTTAGTGTTTTTCTTCTATAAAATTTAAATTTAAAATAAATATTCTATAAAAAATTCTTCTATAAATTAATTATTTTTAATAAATTTAATTAAATATATAATAATTATATATTAAAAAATTCAATTAATTTCAGAAGAATTTGAATTATTGAAATTTTTCTGAAATCTAAGTTCTTTAAAATTTCTAATTAAATTCATTAATATTGTTATTAAATAAAAATTTAAATATTTTTACATTACTTTTAATAAAAATCCCTGACATTTCCCTTAATTCCCTGACCTTTGTCAACCCTGCCTTTTTTTCTTTTTCTTTTCTCTTCTTTTTGTTTCTTTTTCTTCTTATTTAATTTTTTTTTAAATTTAAATTTTATTTTTATTTTATTTTTCTATTTATTTTTATTTTTCATTATTTTTGCAGTTTTGTGTATTAACTATTGACAATTTTAATGTTTACACTTGAGATTGATGATTCTCATGAGTTAATTTTTTTTTAGGAAAAAAAGAAAATTAAATACAACTACCGTTCCCGAAGATTCAATTAATATTTGTGTCAAGGTACAACACTCAATAATGAATTACGATGAAGTGTTATAACATTTTTAGTTTTATGATGTCAAAGAATGACACTAAAAACTGCAATAAATTTAGACAAAGGAAGAAATGCGTATTATTATAGCATTTGAAAAGTCCTTAAAATAAATTTTCGAAATTAAATAATTGCTGGCAAATTTTGATTATATAAAAACTTCCAAGGGGAATTCTCATTTTATCGTTATACAATAAATTTATTCTTATCGTTTTCTAATAAATTTATCATTTAGTTTATTTATTCTTTAATAAATTTATTATTTCGTTTATTTATTCTTCAATAAATTTATTATTTAGTTTATTTATTTTTTAATAAATTTTTTATTCTACCGATTTCAATTTTTTTTCTGTCAACTTTTAATGAAAGTGAAAAGTGGAAATTCTGACGATTTCAATTTTATTTTCTGTTAACTTTTAATGAAAGAGAAAAGCACATTTAAAAATTTAAAACGCACTAAATATTTAATTTTTATTTGAACTTTTATTATATTGATCGTTAGAGATAACTCCGTTTCTTTGAAACTGCAAAAGGAGAGAAGGAATTAATCTCCGTTTTACCTGCTGCCAATTTCCTTATATTTTTTAAAAGATATTATTAGAAAGTATATTTCATATCAGTGTGCTAAACAGCGGAAATTAAGCAAATATTGTATTTGAATTAATACGTTTATCGCACACGTGAATCACAAAAAGCGAGAAAATGAAAAAAGAAACACACGTTTTCAAATGAATCGTATATGAAATATTTTCAACATCATAAATCTATGCCAATTTATAGGTCTAATTTGAATTGTATATTTGTCGAATAAAAGAGAATTAATAATTAAAAAAAGTAATATTAAACGTGAAACTAATTTTTAAATTACTCAAATAAGTGATTAGATGTAATTTTTAAAATTAAAGGCATTGATTCTTTTTTTTCAAATTCATAATCGTTCTTTTATTGTTTAATAACAATGATATCTGAACTTCAGATATCAGCACCAATAGTTTTGATAAAGTTTTCTTAGTCTGTTCTTATCTATTAAACTCTAAATATAATTTCAAACATGTGTATTTTTTGGATTTTTAATTCTATTGCTTTATAAATTAAAATAATTCAAATTTTCATTAATCGAATATTTATCACAATTTATAGAGTATTTTGTTAATTCTCTTTTCAATTTTAAAACAAGTTCTAATTCTATTATTTCTTAAATAAAGTAATTACCATTTTCATTCACAATTGAATATTTATGACAGTTGACAATATTCAAACATTTTTATGAATTTTATTAATTCTCTTTTCAAATTTTCCACATTAGTGAAATGTGTCCGAAAAAATGTACTGGTCGAAAAAAACGTTCTATCCAAAATAAAAGGATAAATAAAAGAATAAAAAAAGGAAAAATAGAATAAATAATAAAATAGACAAAAAGAGAAAAAAAAATGTTTAAATAGGGATTTTTCGCACAAAACTGCAAGAATATGAAATAAAATAATAGATATTGTCTTGTTTATTGCTATAATAATTTTTTAATTGTTCATTATGTCACGATTAAGAGATAATGGGTGAGAAAAAAGTGTAATCTTACGTGTTTTCCCCTAATGAAAATGACTAAGGCAGCACCTAATGCTGTTAAACCCCAGGTAAATAAGGTACCCAAGAGGGTTTGCGTAATTGGTGCGTATCCTTTTATCATGATTGGTTTCTCTTTGGATAATATAAAGAATTTATTCTGTGATGAAAAATGAATTTCTGGATTCCTGAAGATACTGTTTACCCTCAAAGCGAATTGAAAGAAACTGATTTGCGAATTCTCGTTGACGTGCACTCAGTCCCCCTTATCTCAACTGCCACCACCATCGTTATTTCCACTCAAACACAATTGACGATAACCCTGCACCTGCTGCAAATTTCCTTGACATTGTATTATACGTAATGCAATAATATAAGTATAATGAACTCGTTATTTTTCAACGATTTCAACACATTTAATTATTTTCGAAGACGTGTCAAAGACTCTTGATTAGATGATAAATCCATGAAATTGACGATTGTCAAGTATTATTACTATTGTTACATTTACTTCTTGCTTACATTAGCACTTTTTGAAAAAAAAAATTATTTTCACTATCTTCGCGTGCTAAAAAAGACAAAATTTTTATAATTTTATCACCCGCATACAATAATGGGTTGATAAGTTATCACCCAATACTTTCACTATTTTCACTTGTTTTATGCGGAATAATCGATTTTCCAATTGTTGAAATATATAATTGTTATTGTATAATGCCTGGGAATAGAATTTATAATTAAACTTGCAGTAATTATAAGCGATAAATGCGCATATATTTTGACAGCCGCCCGTACGTCTATAAAGTGAACTTAACCTCAAAATTCTGACGTGGCCGCGTCTGTGTAGTAGCAGACGACAGATAAAAATTGACGTTTCAAAGATCAAAGATGGCGTCTGCTTCGGTAGGTGTCTCGTGTTTTCTGTGATTATTTGTGTTTAATTTATTACTAATTTTCAATATTTTTGATTTATTGCCAATCACGAGACATTCTGACAACCTGTTCAATCGTTAGAAGCTATTAGAACAAAAATAATAGCTTTTTTTTCCACGTCCTGGAAAGCTGCTGTTCGCTATTGCATGTGACGTGTATGTATGCGTTATTTTTTTTGAGTTTAATTTGGTTTTTCTTATAAATTATAGTAAGTACCTTTAGATTCTTTAGAGATTTATCGATTATTAAACGTAGGTGGTAAATTTTACAAATGTGAAAGTTAGTGAAATTTAGGAAAATTATGAAATTTATTTTGATGAAGATAACCTATTTTCAACGCGAGTTCTCTATTGATTTTCAATTCGTCGGATTTAAAAATACTGTGTTTTTTATTTATTTAATATTCTCTTTTAGTTTTATTAGTTTGGAACAGTTTTTTAGCGTTTTTTTAAACTTTATTTTGATTTATTCTTCTGGCACTTTAATCTTTGCTTGACATTTGCACAGCTTGTGTGACAATTATTGCGTATCTATATGTAAATTCTTTTTTATTAATTCGGTTTATTTCGTTTATTTTAAAAATTTTGGAATAATTTGTAATTTAGGTACCTTTACTGATGGATGACGATACGATAGCATTTGGTGAGGAGGATGAGGCGACGCAAAATAAACTCAAGTATGATTTATGTAAATTAATTATGTTTGTTGGTGGAAAATTAATTGATTCTTGAGATTAAAATTGGTTTTTTTTCATTGTTTTAGACATCCGTACGTTACAGCGTTTCATCTGGCATTTAGAATTACGGCCCTTGTAGTGTACTTGTTTTGTGGAATTTTATCAGATAGTTTTATTTCTGGTTTCGTGATAGTCATGCTCCTGCTTTCGATGGATTTTTGGACTGTGAAAAATATAACAGGAAGACTGATGGTTGGACTGAGATGGTGGAATTACGTTGATGACGAGGGGAAAAGTCATTGGATTTTCGAATCTAGAAAGGTTCCATTTGATATAATAATTACTTTTCTTCAAAATTTTTCTTTATTGCATAAAATTTTGTTTATAATTCTATTAAATTTATAATAAATTAAATTAAGTATTATAATAAATTCTATTAATTATTTTAATAAATTCTATTAGACGAGATGTCTGTCATAATCCCTGTGTGTTTCAGGGTTCTCAACAGAATCGATTGCATGATTCAGAGGTGCGAATATTTTGGCTCGCATTAATACTCTGTCCTCTCACGTGGGTTCTCTTCTTTTTCGTCGCATTATTTGGTTTTAAATTCAAATGGCTGCTATTGACAGTGATGGCACTTGTCCTTAATGGAGCCAATCTTTATGGTTACGTGAAATGTAAAATGGGTGGAGATAAAAATATTTCCTCAGCGACCAGCGAATTTCTCAGAAAACAAGTTTTACAAAATGTACGTAAAATTTATCAATTTACTGCATGTTCGCAGAAAATGTTACAATTTATTTTTAATTTTTAATTTAATTAGAAATTCATGAACTTATGAATTTCCAGATTTAATTGAATTTAATTAATTTCAACCAAAAAAATTCTAATTAACGATAAATGGGATTTTCAGATGGCGTCTATGATGACGAAGAGTCCTCAAGCAACAAATCCGAACCAATCAGGAAATATAATTTAAGAATTGTGATAATTTCTCCAATATAATAATCGTAAATAATTATATTTATCCTAATGTAAGTTGTAAATACGCAATAGATTTTTTTTAATTCAAAAGAATTAATAAATTCAACACTTGATCCTACAATTTTAGAAAAAGAGACAATTTTATTAAGAAATATATCCAATTTTTACTATATTTACCAGAAAAAAGTAATAAATCATCTTTTACTGTTAAATTATTGATTTTCGTTATTTTTCACTAATTATTAAATTAATAAGCTTAAAATTCGAGGGCGAGAATGAATGATTTTGGAATTTGATTCGAGGGCGAGAAAAAAGAATTGTTACGTTAATTTCTAGTTTATTGATGCCATACGGCAATACATATTGTACAATGCAGTTTTCTTGTCAACAGTCTTCTAATACGCAGTATTTATATGATAATTTTTTTCTTTTTTTTAATTGATAACATTTTATTTACTACTCCTGCTCTAAACCATTATGTATTCCATTCCGGAAGAAAGTATCACAAAATAATTTCTCCATCTCATTCGCTTATCTACTCAATGACAATTTCGTTTCTGTTTTGTTCTAACATTTTACAATATTCATTCCCTCTAAACTTGTACTGCAGTCATTTGAATCTCATTTTATGAATTTTTTTTTAAAACAATACAGTGTTTGTGTGCGTGGACATAATTCACGAATGAGTTAAAAAAAGCAAATATTTTTATTTAGTAGTTTTTTTAAAATAAACTCGACAGTAGATCGAATTCTGAGTTTCTGACAGAAAATATTTAGGCAGTTTAGATAGTAATTCTAATTTTTTTATGAACTTAGAATTATTAAATGAAAGAAATATAAAATAGTAAAGAAAATAAGAGGAAAAAGAAAAAAATGGAAATTTGAAAATAATTTAATCAAGTAGAGGAAAGAATTTACAGAATTAATATTTTCTTAATAATAAAAATTTGGAATAATTCAAATACACTGAAGCAGAAATTTTTTTCAATCTGTTTTAAGGAATTTATTTGTCACAAATTCTGAACATACGGAACACTAAAAAAACTTAAATCTACGCACAAAGAATTACAATTTTTGTTTAAAAAAAGAAATAATACAATTCATCATTTCTTTTCTTCTTTTCGACTTATTTATATATACAATTTTTCGATGATTTAATTTACAAAAAAATGAAATGAAAAGAAATTACCTACATTAGTTTTTTAAACGACGAATACAAAAGAAAATTTTTATTAAATCTAAATACATTAATAACTAAATTAATTTTGTTCTAATACCAGTCTAATAAGAATAAGTAGAATTAATTGGTAATAATAAAAATAATAAATACTTGACGATGAAAAAAAGTCTTTTCGATTAAAAAAATTTTAATACAGAGAATAAATGCAATTTTTTCTTGCGATTTTCGATTCGATCTACTGTCAACAAAATATTGATCTTAAAAATATGTGAATAAATTGTAAAAACAAATGTAAAAAATAATATTAGAGACTAATTATTCTCACAGCTAAAAAACGAAAAGCTTCTAAAAAAGTAGTATGCAAGTTGGTTTGTAAAAATGTATAAAAAAGACAATGTTACAAAGTATAAAAATTGTATGAGACTTCTTATTTAAACATCAAGTGTCTTAGAATTTTTTCCAAATTTTTTATTTCTATTTTCTTTTTTTAGATTAAATATATTTTTTTAATTAACCTTAGACATTAATTTATCACTGCGCATAAATGCTTTATTTTATTTGTCTGTAAAAAATTGTATAATCTTTATTAATCTCTTTTTATTAAACTTTTTATTCAATAAAAAAAATTGATTAAAAAAACATTCACAAAAAATTTTTTTTAAAAACATAAAACATTTTTTAAATAAATGACATTTTATTAAAAAACAAAACCATTTTATTAAATAAAATAAAAAAAATTAAATTCAAATAAAAATTTCCGTCAGATATTATTTAAATTATAATTCCTTTCGTAATTTGTTAGGAAAAATTTCATTTTTAAAATAGTAAAAATGTAATCACTGGAAAATTAAAACTAATTATTTACACATAAGATAAAAGAAGTAAAAAAAGAATAAAAGTAAAAATGTTTACTCTAAAAAAACCGGGATTTTCAAAATGTTAAAAATTCATTTATGATAGCTAAATTTAGAAAAAAAATTACAAGACAAATGTTAAAATTGAAAGTCTCATACTCAAATAATTTCTAAATATTTTTTTTAAGTAAAACCGGGGTCCTAGATTATTAAAATTATTTATATATATACCGCCAGCATGGAAAATATTCACATGCCACTAATCGTGTTTTTGCTCTCTTCAGAATATTTATAATATATATCTATTTATATATTATTTCTTATATAATATGTATAATGTTGTTAATGACAGATGGTGCTTTTATTTACACACAATTGTAAATTCCTGACCCTCTAGTTTTCAATAAAATAATGGAATGATCGTTAAAATACAACAGGTGGAAAAAAATGAAAAAAAAAGAATTATAAAAAAAATTCCAAAAAAGAAACAAAACTACAAAAATAGTGCAGTAAAAAGTGTCCTAGTTTTCAATCAGAGAAAATATCGAAAAATGAGAAAAAAATTTTCTTATTGCTTTCGTCACTTTTATAATTAATGACACTCTATACATAGTCGAGGCAGTTTGTACCTTTCGCGTTTTTTTTTTTATGAATAGTTTATCAAAGAAATGTACAATACGAGTAAAATACTCGTAAAATCGGAGGACATAAATAAGCGTGAGCTTATTGTCATTACAGACCGAAGAATTAATGTACAAAGTTTTAACTAGATCGTTATTCGAATACTTACACTATTTAGTCAAAATTTATTAGTTTCGATTATAATTTATTTTTTTCTCGCTATTATTTTTCGATATTTTTCTGATTTATGTTAAAATTTGCTTAATAATTCCACTATCTTTTAAATACAAAGGGGGACAATTTTTGTACATAGATAGCGGAAATGATAATTGTTTACAAGATATAACATTATTTAAAATAAGAAGAAAAAAAAATTCAAATTGGAGCAATTCGTATTTTTTTGGAATGTTAAGCTTCTGTTAAACGTTAATTTTGTTCGTATATTTTTCATTTTTGCAAAAGAGGAAAAATTTTGTCCCATGTTATTTTTTTACTTTTTTATCTGTTTGTACATTGTTAGCAACTTTTTCTTCTTTCTTACTTTTAGTATTTTTTTTCGAAATGAAAAAGTAGATTTTTAGGAGAGAACTTTTTTCAGAAAGAAATCTTTAAACTGTATGAAAAAAGTAGAGAGAAAAAAATATGTTTTTAATACAAATTGCTCCAAAATACAAACGAAGAGAGAAAAAAATTAAAAATTGGTCGAAGTGCGACTTTGTACATGTGATTTCATTTTCTTACTGAGGGCACAGGTCAACAGTACGTGATTTCAACATCCAGTATCTCTATATATAAACTATTTTTTCACACATTCTCGCAGTTTTTTCTTTAGCATTCAAAATGAAACCATTCATTCATAATTCATAAATTTTCACATTCCTAATGGCATTTCTTAAACTATGCTTACAACAGTTTGTTTTTTTATTTACGCTCTAATTAAAATAATAATAATTAGGTATTGAGAAGTTTTTCCCTAATCGTGCACATTGGATATGGCATATATTTAACAGTTTTTATTTTTTTTTTGTCAGTTTTGGCAGTATGGCAATTTTCTTGTCAGTGATAAAAAGGTCACGTCTCCTTTCGTCATTTTTCTTCTTTTTCTCTGCGCATTATTGTTTATTTTTTTTCTTTGAAAATGAATTGAATTTTTATCTAAATTTTCGCAAGTAAAAGCACTTGCTGTAAATTGAGCTTTGATACGAAGCTCTTGACTTGATTTTTTAACAATTGTTTTTTTTTGTTGGGAAAAAAAATTACGCTAGTGGGTAAAACATGCCTGGGCATTGTATAAAATGTCAACAGAGTCATGTTTTTGGTTTTATTTTGTTTTGCTTATCCTAGATAGTCGTTATTGAAGGAAGCACACATCTGTATTTGAGTATTTGAGTTTGATCAGTGCCAATGATTTTCTGTCATTGAAAAAACAGTATACGAAAGAGGCACGAGAATCTAGGGTTTTTGGAACCATTTGTTAAAGATTTATTTTTTTTTTTCATTAGGAACGTAATATTGGAAGAATTGAAGCTCGAGATTTTAAAATAGAAAAGCTTCGAATCTTCAAATATTTCTCGAAAGGATGAAGCGACACAAGGTGGACAATTTTGACAAAGAGACTCTAACTATTCAGACAAAAGTTGATTAGTTCCAAAAGAATAGTTCGAAATTAGAAAAGTGTAAATTCAAGTCAATATCGATATGTTTAACGCAACCGAGTGTTACGCTTTATTTTAAAATCTAAATCACTCAATAATTATTGTTGTCGAAAAAACGAGACGGAAAATGGGCTTTTTTCGATTTTTTTTCGCTTTTGGGACATTGGGAGTGAAATGAACACATTTTATCATCGAGTTTTTGTTTTTGCTGTATGATTTCGTAGATTTTCTGTTGCTTCTCAATGCCTTTGTGTTTATTGTTCCATTATTATCTATATGTATATTTTTTTTTGTTCATTGTCGGCAGTCGTTTCCCTTTTTTTTGGAATCTAGCAACGCTTTTTTTTTTTTAATATAAATAACTTCTTAAAAGACGATATTGACTGGCTTTGTTCATATAGAGGAAAAGACAGCAAATTCATCTTACGAAATTTAAACCCGTCGTACTTTTGCTCTATCTCCGATGTCTCGTGTTCTTCTCTCGCCACGATCCCTTGGCACCTCCCTAGTCTCGCGAATTTCCGCTTGTCAGTTGGCGTAGTGATCGAAAGAACCTAAATATTCCAGACTGGCACGATAGCAGAATTGGTATTGATCCTGAAATTAAATTATTTTTGAGAAATGGAAGAAAATAATATAAAATGATACAAATAATATAATAATAAATCAGGGTTGACACAAAATTTTGATTTCAATTTTCCCTGATTTCCAGATAGAATTTCGATTTTTTCTCTGGTTCCTTAAAAAAATTAAAATAGTTAAAAATATAATTCGTTACTGGCCCAATCTTTCCACAATTATTTTTTAAAATCGAAATAAAATTCTAAAAAATCCAAATATTTTTGTATGTTAGGAAATTTTAATTATTTTATAAATTTTCAATGACTTGTTTCAATTATCTTCCATTAGATTATCAGAAATAGAATTAAAAACCAAGAATTTCAGAATTTTCGTAAGTAAAAATTATTGTTTTTGCACAAAATTTAAGATAAAAAAGGAAAAAAACAGATTATACTAAAAATTTAAAAAGATATCAAAGTTTGAAAATTTCAAAGTATATAAATATAAAATTTTTAATAATTTTATGAAAAAATTGTGATAACTTTTTTGAATTTTGTTGTACAGAAAAGTGTCTAAAGGAAAAGTTGTTCGTTTTTGCCTAAAATTTAAGAAAAAAGCTGATAAACAGATTTTACTAAAAATTGAAAAAGATACCAAAGTTTGAAAATTTCAGAGTATATAAATATCAATTTTTTCGAACTTTTTGAAAAAATTGTGATAACTTTTTTGAATTTTGTTGTACAGAAAAGTGTCTAAAGGAAAAGTTGTTTATTTTTTAGTAAAATTTAAGGGAAAAAGCTGGCAAACAGATTTTACTAAAAATTGAAAAAGATATTAAAGTTTGAAAATTTCAGAGTATATAAATATCAATTTTTTCGAACTTTTTGGAAAAATTGTGATAACTTTTTTGAATTTTGTTGTACAGAAAAGTGTCTAAAGAAAAAGTTGTTCGTTTTTGCCTAAAATTCAAGGGAAAAAACTTAAAAACAGATTTTACTAAAAATTGAAAAAGATACCAAAGTTTGAAAATTTTAAGGTATATAAATATCAATTTTTTTGAACTTTTTGAAAAAATTGTGATAACTTTTTTGAATTTTGTTGTACAGAAAAGTGTCTAAAGAAAAAGTTGTTCGTTATTGCCTAAAATTTAAGAGAAAAAGCTGACAAACAGATTTTACTAAAATGTGAAAAAGATACCAAAGTTTGAAAATTTCAAGGTATATAAATATCAATTTTTTCGAACTTTTTGAAAAAATTGTGATAACTTTTTTGAATTTTGTTGTACAGAAAAGTGTCTAAAGAAAAAGTTGTTTGTTCTTGGCTGAAATTTAAGGGAAAAAGCTGAAAAACAGATTTTACTAAAAATTGAGAAAGATACCAAAGTTTGAAAATTTCAGAGTATATAAATACCAATTTTTTCGTACTTTTTTGGAAAAATTGTGATAACTTTTTTGAATTTTGTTGTACAGAAAAGTGTCTAAAGGAAAAGTTGTTTGTTTTTGGCTTAAATTTAAGGGAAAAAGCTGAAAAACAGATTATACTAAAAATTAAGAAAGATACCAAAGTGTAAAAACTAAAAACTTCAGAGTATATAAATACCAATTTTTTCGTACTTTTTTGGAAAAACTGTGATAACTTTTTTGAATTTTGTTGTACAGAAAAGTGTCTAAAGGAAAAGTTGTTCGTTTTTGCCTAAAATTTAAGGAAAAAAGCTGAAAAACAGGTTTTACAAAAATTGAAAAAGATACCAATGTTTGAAATTTTCAAGGTATATAAATATCAATTTTTTCGAACTTTTTGGAAAAACTGTGATAACTTTTTTGAATTTTGTTGTACAGAAAAGTGTCTAGAGGAAAAGTTGTTTGTTTTTGGCTAAAATTTAAGGGAAAAAGCTGAAAAACAGATTTTACTAAAAATTGAGAAAGATACCAAAGTTTGAAAATTTCAGAGTATATAAATACCAATTTTTTCGTACTTTTTTGGAAAAACTGTGATAACTTTTCTGAATTTTGTTGTACAGAAAAGTGTCTAAAGGAAAACTTGATTTTTGCTAAAATTTAAGGGAAAAAGATGAAAAACAGCTTTATTAAAAATTGAAAAAGATACCAAAGTTTGAAATTTTCAAAGTACTTATATAAATATCAATTTTTTCGTACTTTTTTAAAAAATTTCAAATTTCGATTTTTTTAAACTGTAATGAAATAATTTAATAAATTGAATTACTTTAAATAAAATTTTACAAATTTGTAATTAATTTGACAATTTTTTAATAAAATGTCTTTTCGAAATTCAAATATATTTAAACAGTTTAATTTTAAATTTCTTAGAAATTGAATTTTTTTATATTTTTTATGAAATTATTCATAACTTGATTAAATTTGAAAATGAATTTTCTTGATTTTTTGCTAAATTTCCTGATTTTTCTGACTTGTGACAACCCTGGAAATATATAGCAAAAAAAAAAAAAAATTAAAAGGAAGAAAAATAAAAATTACCTCTGTTTGCACCATTGCTGGACGTTGGGTACGTAATATTCTAACAGTTTGGAAAATATCGACAACACCTTCGTACTGCATTCTTTCTAAAACGATACTGAGTGTAATGAAAACGCCAGTTCTACCAACGCCCGCACTACAATGTACAGTGATTGGACCATCCTGTCCAAATTGCTCCTTTGTTTTATGCACTTGACCAATAAAGTCAATAAATCCATCGCCTGATTTTGGAACACCTTGCTCGGGCCAATCGAAAAATTGAAATTGCCTCACTGTACGACTCGCTCCATCCCTAGCGTCAGTGACTTTAAATTCACGTAAAATATATTGTGGCATATTATATTCGGCAATTGGATCAACAACAAAACATTGATATCGAATCGATCTATCGGACGGCCAATACTGATGGCATTTCTCCCTTCCCATTTCCTTTAATTTAATCAACATCACGACAATCGTTGAATTATGCTCCCAAAGCATTCGCCAAAAATCGTCTGTTGTATCCTTTAATGGACCCTGAGTGGCAATGTAAGCGCTACGATAACGATAGCCATCAATTAAACTCGCATTGATATAATCTGAACCCTCAATATTACGCTGTGGCTGTAGACAAACACGAGTGCATTCATAAGGCAAAATGTGGACCAATCGATTTTTATGCTTGTTACATGGTAAATTGGCCGATATAAATCTTGTCGAGTCCGCCTTTATGTTGGAGAGTTTTTTAAATTCTAATTCCATCCCCGTGATAATGTCAATTTCGGGTTGCATTAATTTTTGTATGTGCGAATGTAAATTTCTCGCCGGCACTTCTGTATTGCCACAAATAACGGCCTCGAGTAATGCGTCGTGAATGAAAATATACTGATCCTCCGTTTGTACCATATAATTCCTTTGCGCTCGAAGGCATGTCACGTGGCCATAAATATCAATCATTTTCTCGTGCTTAATTCTCTCGAGCATGGAATCAATCACAATGAAGCAGCCGGTGCGTCCAACGCCGGCGCTACAATGCACAACCATTGGCCCACTGTCCGATGGATTGAGTGCTTTGACTCGTCGTAAAAATTGAAGGAAAGGCGCCGGATGCTCTGGTACACCGTGATCGGGCCACGCTGTAAATTGCAATTGCTTAATTTCCCTACGCTCTGAATAACCATTGCGACAAATTTGAAATGTTCTGATACAATAAGTCGCTAGTTCTTGTACATCACTTATCGAAACTGTCATTTGTCCGTAAGTTTCAGCGCCTCTTGTTGGCCAATATTGATCGCATTTTATTCTTGTTCTCTCCTCGAGTTTTGTCATCATTACTATTGTACTCGAACGTAATTCCCAGCACATTCGCCAAAAATCGGCGAATGTCTCCTGCAGCGGACCTTGCGTTGCAACGTAGGCATTTTGTTTACGATAGCCATCGCAATAGTTTGCATTGATGTAATCCGAGCCGGGAATGCCGTCAATTGTTTGAAGAATAACTCGTGAATGATCGTAAGCAATGACGTTTGCGTAACGATTTTTCGATGTGTTCACCTCCATGTTTGAATGATCCCATGTGAATTGTTGACCAGGTTCTATTGATTCGTATTCCTGGCTGAATTTAAGATTGTCATTCGCCTTCAGTCGTTCAATATGATTGCCCAATTCGCTTATTGGAATTGGTGGATGTGAGATCATGCCGGGTGTTTGGAAATTTAATCGACGCATTTCCACTGGGTCCGAGGGCGCTGGATTTGAACTCATATCGGCTGCCATTAATGGTCGCGTGACTGCCGCTTGATCTGGTGTTTTGCACGGTTGTCTTCGACTGTAAAAAGAAAATAAAATTGATGAAAATAGTAATAATTTTCGGGGTTCACAATTTTTTGATGAAATTGAGGTAATTGAAATTGAAACTATAATACAAATTGAGATAAAATAATAATAATAATTGAAATTGAGACTAAAGTAGAAATTGAGACAATAATTAAAATTGGGACTATAATAGAAATTGAGACTAAAGTAGAAATTGAGACAATAATAGAAATTAAGACAATAATAGAAATTGAGATAATAATTGCAATTGAGAATAAAATAGAAATTGAGACAATAATTGAAATTGAGACTATAAAAGAGATTGGAAAGAAGTGAAGAAGGAATTTTGACTCACTGTTTGACAACGAAGAGAAGAACGAGACACACGCAGACCATTAAGGCGGCAATTATTGGACCAATCACCCAAACCATCCCAGGTTCTTGACCGCTCGTTTTCACCGAAACTTCTGGATTCCCTTCGCCAGGATTGTCTATATTTGATGGTCGACGGGGAGGATCACCAGGAGGTACTTTCCTCATGTTTAGCGACAAGTATTCCGAGAATGGTGACGACGTGTAAAGATGCTGCAAACAAAACACTTTATTTTAGAAATTTTCGAAAATTAACAACTATTAAATTTAAATTAATTACAATAAATTACTAGATATTATTAATGAAATAATAATATTAATAATTAATAATAAAATTTTCAATTATTAAATATTTGTTCCAAAATTGCCTTGACAAGTGTAAAAATGATATTTCGAAAATTAAAAATTAAATTTATTTATCTATTAAATTTGTTAAAAAAATGTTTTATCAAGTGAAAAAATTAATTTCGATTTAGAAGATGTTTTTAAGTAATGAAAATTGTTTTTAAAGTAAGTAATTAGATTATTTAAAAATATAATTAATTAATTAATTGAAAATTCGTTCAAAAATTTTTTTTTAAGTTTAGAAAAAGTGAAAAAATTTGATTATTTACAGTAGGTAAGAATATTTTTTTGAAAGTAAGTAAAAAAATTATTTTAACTAAAAAAATTTAATAATTAATTGAAAATTTGTTTAAAAATCACTTTTACGAGTGTATAGATAATTTTTTGATTTCTTAAATATATTTTAAGTAAAGAAAGTTGTTTTTAGACTACGTAAAAATTTTATATTGAATAAAAAAAATTTAGTTTTTAGAATAACATTAATTTTTAAAAGAAAAACTAATTTCCATTAACAAAACAAATGAAAAAAATTCATTCTAAAGTTTCTAAATAGTTTTATTTAAAAATATTTCGTTTTTTCGAATATTTAAAACTTGTGGTTTGTGGATTATGTAAAAAAGTAGATATTCTACAGCAAAAAAAGATAATTTTCAATTTAAATAACAGGCTTCTTACAGAATCTGGAAATCATGGAAATCATGGAAATGGTATGGGATATTTAAAAGGCTTCTGGTAATTAGCAAAATCATGGAAAAGGCCTGGAATTTTTAAAAGTTTCTAAATTTTTCCTGTTTTCCATTTTTTTCTTCAATAGAAATTCAATTAGAAATTTTAAGATATAATATATATTATACGACGTGGAAATTAAATTTAAAATTCCACTGGAATTTCCTAAAAATTTGATCTGGAAATCATGGATTTGAAATGGAATTTTAATTTCGGATTTCTGCAGGAACCCTGATGTTGTATTTTAAAAAATTCGGTTTTTCAAATTTTTGGTATTTTTTGATAATTTTAAATTTTTTACCAAAGGGTGGAGATTATTAAATAAGTAAAGTGTTTTTTAAGTGCCCAAAAATATTGAAGCTAAATGCCATAAAACAGAAGAAAAAATGTTGAATTTTAAGTAATTCAGTTTTTTGAATTTTTGATAATTTTTAAAAAATTTAAATTTTTTAACAAAGGGTGAGACTATTAAATAAGTAAAGTGTTTTTGAAGAGCACAAAAATAGTGAAGCTTTATGCCATAAAAGAGAAAAAAAATGTTGAATTTTAAGAAATTCGGTTTTTTGAATTTTTGATAATTTTAGATTTTTTGCTAAAGGGTCGAGACTATTAAATAAGTAAAGTGTTTTTGAAGAGCACAAAAATAGTGAAGCTAAATGCCATAAAAGAGAAGAAAAAATGTTGAATTTTAAGAAATTCAGAAAAAATTTTCTAAAAATTTAACCTGGATATCATGGAAAAGGTATGGAATTTTAAGTTCTGATTTCTGTAGGAACCCTGAAATAAGTACTTAATTTTGAAAAACTTTTTCTTTACAATTAAAAAATTCAGTGGGTCGATTATGTAATTTTATTTTTTACTTTGACTTTCATTTTTTCTTTCAATTAGGTAGAGAGACTTTTATTTTCATTGTTTCACCCAGAAAAAGTTTTTGTCGATTTAGAAAATCATTTGTCTTTAATTTTTGTATCTTCGATTGAAAATTAATTTTTCTTTAATACAAAGAAATTAAAAATAATTTATTTCCTAAAGAAATTTTTCTTATTTTTAAATCAAAGAAATATTTCTTTGACCCTGTATCAATGATAAAATTTCTTTTATTTAAGGGGATGTCAAAGTCGATTGGATTTTTGCATTGAGCTTCAATGGGAAAATCGCATCGACTTTGACATCCCCTTAAGAAAAAATTTTTGGAATTAAAAAAAAATTTTTGGAATAATAGAAAAGTTTAAAGCAAAGAAATTTTCTTTGAATCAAAAACCCTCTTTTTCTTTCGAAAAGAAGTTTATATTGAATGAAACAAAACCGAGTCTAAGAGACTGATTCTTGTTCGAATTAACAAAAACAATTTTCTGGGTGCACTTTAATAGATTTTTATTTTCATTTTCACAAATTATTATTTTCCTGTTTATTTTCACTTTCACAAATTTTTATTTTCTAGTTTATTTAATTACTTTGACAGATTTTTGTTTTTATCTTCATTCCCATATTAAAATTTTTATAAAAATATAATAATAATTATAGAATAAAAATTTAGTGTGGGAAAATATAAGTTTATCAAATTTAAAGTGAAAATAAAAATTCTCCAAAGCGAAAATGAAAATAAAAATCTATCAAATTGTAAATAAGAATGAAAATGAAAATAAAAATTGAATTACGTAATCGACCCCCAAGTTTCGAAGAAGAAAATTTTGTTCGTACCCTTCTTGGAGTGTCGACAACTGCCCTCACAAATACCCTGTACCTCTTGTTCTTATCCAATTTTTTATTCGTATATCCATCGTAAGTGTCTGTATTGCCTAAATAGAAAGTATAGGGAGTTGATCTCTGTGGGAATTTAGCAGCAATATAAGGCGCATTTTCTTTATCTTTAGCATTCTTCCCCGAAATCATATCCTCAGTCAATGCATCGGGTTCAATATTCGAAAAAGTCGAATTTTCAGGAACAACAACCAAATAGGAATGTGATATGGGTCCATATTCTTCGCTAGCCGATGGCAATATCACCTGAATTTCATCATTAAAAACACCATAAAAATCAGGTTTCACCATTGGTTTTGGCGCTGCCATTTGTGTTGTGACGGTGATTCTTGCCGGTGGACGATAAGAACCATCGGGCGGCACCGCCGTCACATTAACATTATAAGTTGTGAATGGCTGGAGATCATCGATAATTTCCGTTGTTTGACGATGATCCAAAACTTTTTCCTTCCTCGGTACAATTTGCGTTCGTCCCTGTCCCTGTGAATCGACAAAACTCTTGATAGCATCGAAGGAAATTTTATAATTCTCTGGATTCAATTTTATTGGCGGTGTCCATGAGAGTGTCATTGAATGTGTCGACGTCTCGGGTGCTCGTAAATTTAATGGCACATCGTCTGGTTTCACTTTCACTGTTTTCTTATCGCTGAGACGTCCAATGCCAGTTTTATAGCGCGCTGCGACTGCCACCGCATACTCGGCGTATTTCTCTAAATTCACAAGATCCGCCGATTCGGTGAGACCAACGGATTTTTGTTTCCATTCATCGAGATCGGCGACCGCCGTCATTGTGTAGAATATTTGATAGCCAATTATTTTACCACGATTTGGCACTGGTTCCCACCAGACTTCAACGCTTGATTCAGTTGTGGCGACTGCTTTCACGTTCATTGGGGCACGGCCAATGTCCTTTTCGGTGACGATGGTAATTTTCTCGGAGAATGGTCCACTGCCACGTTGTGTGTGTGCTTTCACGTGAAATACATATTCGGTGTTTTCATCGAGATTTGTGAATACGGCGCGTGTATTTGTTGTGTTACGATCAATTATTGTACTGTGATCATTTTTCTTGTGAAATTGCACATCGTAATGGGTGATACGACCGTTTTTGTGCTTTTGCAATGGCTCACTCCAAGTCACGCAAACTGTGTTGGGAGTTTGAAAGTGAAACGATAAATTTGTCGGCGGTCCGGATGGTTCACTTTCGGGACTCGCCCAATATTGAACAGCTTCCTGGCCAAATCCAATGTCATTCCTGCCAGCGACTCGAAATTCGTAGTCCACACCTCGTTCAACTTTGGAAATAAATTTTCAGATTTATTATTTTTTTTTCTTATTTGCTCAATTTAATAGAATTCATGTCTTGAACATTTTTTTTCAATTTTTAATAAAAAAAAAAGTATTCCTTGAGTAGAGTTTCATTTTTTGAAGAGAGGATAAAAAATTTAAAAAGTTTGAAAATTGTTTTCAAGATATGAATTCTTTAAAATTCAGGCTTCGGATCGAGTTTAAGGGGCAAAATAGTAAAAAAAAGTCGAAAAAAATCATTAATTTTATTCTTGTTGTAAAAAAAATTTTAATTTTGTCTTTTTCGACTTTTTAGTAATTTCTAAATTTATTTAAGAATAATTTTGTTAAATACAATTTTGAAATTAAATTATTTTTCTAAAAACTACAATTTCTAAGATTCATTTCCAAAATTTAATTATTTTCTAGAATTTTACTAAACTTCTTCTCTGAATCAATTATTTTTAATGATTTTCCAAAAAATCCATCGAGAATCAATGATTTAAGTATAAAAATTTTATTTTTTATAATAATTTGTATATAATTGAAAAATCTCTAAACAAATTGAAATATTGTTCAATATTTCCAAATAATTGAAATTTAATAAAACTTTTTGAAAATAATTGAATTTATTTAAAAGAATTTTTGGAAAATATTAAAAAATTATCATGTTTTTAAGAAATTTTAATTACATGTAAGAAAATAAAGGATTTTTCTTAAATTTTATTAAAAAAATGGATTATTAAAACATTTCAAATTTCAAAATTTATCTTCAATTTCCCTAATCTTTAAATAATTTCTAAATTTAATTATTTTAAACTTAAATAATTATAAACAATTTTAAAAAAATATTTAGATAATTGTTATTTATTTTTTCAAAGAAATTGACAATTTTTAAAATTTTTGTTTCAAATCTTTTGAAATTTAATTTTTTCCAAAAATTTTAACAGTAATTCTTTCAAAATTCAATTATTTTCTAAAATTATTAATGAAACTTGTTCTCTGAAGCAATTATTTTTTTATAATTTTTCAAAAAATTCATCGAGAATTCAATTATTTAAATATAAAAATTCTTTTTTTCATAATAAAATGTATATTATTAAAATATTTCTAAACAATTGAAATATTTCCAAATAATTTAAATTTATTAATACTCTTTGAAAATATTTGAATTTTTTTAAAAGAATTATTCAAAAATTTAAAAAAGTTAACAAGTTCTTAAAGAATTTTAATTACATGTAAGAAAATACAGGATTTTTCTTAAATTTTATTAAAAAAATAGATTTAGATTTAGATTTTAAAAAAAATTTTCAATTTCAAAATTTCTTAATTTTGAATTTTCCTGATCTTTAAATAATTTCTAAATTTAATTATTTTTAACTTGAATTAAACTAAATAATTTTAAATAATTATTTAAATATTTGTTATTTACTGTTTTAGAGAAATTGACAATTTTTAAAATTTTAGTTTAAAACCTTTTGAAATTTAATTGTTTCCAAAAATTTATATTATCTGTAACTCTTTCAAATCAAAATTTGTTCTTTGAAGCAAATATTTTTTATAATGTTCCAAAAAAATATTCGAGAATTCAAGTAATTAAATATAAATATTCAATTTTTTATAGTATTAATTATTGTAATTGTAAATGTTCCTAAGAAATTTTTTCTGAAAATAATTGAGTTTTTTTTAGAGAATTACTGAAAAATTTCAATAAGACTAATTAATTTTTTTTTAAGAATTGTAATTATAAATTTCAGAAAAGATTGATCTCTACAAAATTTAAATAATAATTTTAAAAAAAAATATTAAATTTTTTTAAATATTATGAAAAAATTCTATAAATTGCTTTAAAAAATAATTTAATATAATTTTCTCAATCTTATTTTTCTTAATTTTAATTTTCATATTTTTATTTGAAGATTTTTCGTATTAAAATGTTTTAAAATTAAGTCATTTTCAAAATTTGCAATTAAAATTCTTCTAAATTTCGATTATTAAAAATTTTTAATGTAATACTTAGAGGAAGGAATTATTTTCAATAAAGTTTACAAAATTTCAATTATTTAAAATCCTTCTATTTGTATATTTAGAAAATTTAATTATTTTCAAAAAAAAAAATTATTCAAGTTAATAATTTCTAAAAGATGTTGACTATAATTTTCTTTAAATTGTATTGACTATAAAAATTGAATAAAAGTTGCATTTTATTCGAAAAAGTGTTATTTTGTTTTCTGTTTAAAAAATTAAATTCTTTATAAATAAGCAAAAAAAATTGTCTTCTTTTTTGGAAATAGTCGTAAAAAGTCTTAAAAGTCATAAATATCCGAGGTCTGAAAATTGTATGAAGGTAAATTAATACTCACTGAGGTCAGTTATTTTGAAATTTGTCTGCTCCGTTGGGAGAATGACTTCTCTGAGACTTTGTCCCTTTATTCCATATTTGACTCTGTAGCTTTTCAACTCCCCGTATGTTTGCTTAGGTTCATCCCAACTTAATTCCAATGTTGCTGGATCGTCTCTATGTGTTAATCTGTTTTTTTTTTAGGGAAAAATATAAATGCTTTTAATATTCAATATAAAAATCAAAATTATAATTTTTCTTATTAATTTAATATTTTTTATTCCAAGAATGTATAAAAAAATGAATAAAAATTAGTTGATAAAAAAAAATGAATTTATAAAAAAAAATATTGAAATTAATTCGAAAATTACTTGGTTGTAAATTCAAAATGTGGATGAATTTTCTTCTTTTAAGAAAAATGAATAAAAAATAAGAAATAAGAGAAATAAATTTATTTTGATAAAAAAAAAAATTTTAATTAATTTTTGAAAATTACTTTGTTGCAAATTCAAAATGTGGATGAATTTTCTTTTTTTCTTTCTGTTATACTAACTTTATTGTGAGTTCCGGTCGGTGAGGAACGCCACCGGGAGTTTTAATTTCAACAGGACTTGAACGATTTCCATCCCCTTTTCTTGTCAGAGCAGCAACTTGAATTGTGTATTTGGTGTCAGGTTGAAGACCCGTTATGTTCGCTTCCCGAATGCCTTGATCTTGAATGTTAATTTGCATCGGCTCGTTGAGAAGATCTTTATTCTAAAGTAGACAGCATAAAATTAATGCAAACAAAACAAGTGTAAATTCAAGAAACAATATACAGAAATGTCAAAATTTACATTTAATGCAGGGAATTCATTTCTGTTTTACAATTTACAATAGAAAAAAATAAACGAAAAAAAAAAATAAATAAATAATAAAAAATGAAACGAAAGTTTACATGAGAAAAAACAATAAAAAAAAAACAATAAAAAAAAACAATAAAAAAGTAAAAACAGAAAATGAATAAAAAATAAAACAATAAAATTCAACCGGAGAAAAAACAACAAAAGAATAAAAAATCAAAAAGAAAATAAATAAAAACATCCAAACGAAAAATCGTAAAGAAATCGAGAAATATTAACAAAATAAATAAAAGTTTAAACAAGACATCGAGAAATAATTAAATTCCAAACAATGAAGATTATTTGATTTCCATGAAGAGAAAAAAAGGAAAGAATGTTAATAAAAAAAAAAATTTATCAAACTGTCCATAAACATAAATGTAAATGGAATAATGTTCATAAACATTTTGAAAAAGTCAATGAAAATTAAATTATAAATACATCGGAAGCGTTTTTATACGTTTCACTGCCAATCAAATGCATTGTACGAATTTTTCACCGGAAACATTTCCATTTCGTTTCGCTTATTGCATTCCAACATTCTTTTGAGATTATCTTTTTTTTTGTTTCCAATTTCTCATGAATAGAAAAAAAAATGTTTTATTTTCTCCCCAAATGGAAAAATAATTAAATTTACATAAATTTATCATTTTCTTTCGTCAAATTTTTTTTATTCTTTTGAAAAAAAAATATATTTATCTTTTTTTCTATTTTACTATGTAATTAAAATTGTAACCATAAAAAATTTTGCAAATGTTAATAAATAAATCAATAAAAAATTTCAAATTAGATAATTAAAAATCCTGTAATTTTTAATTATCTAATTTGAATTTTTCTAAATAGTTAAAAAAACCTTCTTTGGTTTTTCAATTTAAAAAAATATTTCCACAGGGAAAATTAGAAATATATTTTTCTTTAATAAAAGGAATTTTTTTGGTCAAGAATTTTACCACTGGAAAAAATGAGAAAAATATTATCTTTTATTATAAAAAAAAAATTCTTTTTGTTTTCTAATTTGAAAAAATGTTTCGATAGGAAAAAATTCAATAGAAATATATTTATTTTTTCTCTATAAAAAAATTATTTTTTGCTTTTTCAATTTGGAAATATTTTTCACAGGAAACAAATTAAAAGTAAATTTTTATTTTTCTATAAAAATGTAGGTAGATATAGTTCTGGCAAATGAGAATGAAAGTTTTAACAGACCTTTTCACTAACTTCCTGTATATGAATGTGATAACCTCGAATGACCCCATTTTGGTCCTTTGATTTTGGTGGCTTCCATTCAACATGGATGGAGGAAGAATTAATGGCCGTTGCTCTCACATCCTGAGGATCTCCTGGCACTGTAACATAACTCAATGTTACATTGAATTCTTTATGTCCTCAATTTACTACTCAACACACACAATTATACAATCATACATTCTCGTTCATTCAAATTTCAACTGAGAGGATTGAAAAAAATTATATAATTAATTAATAAAGTGCAAAAACTTTTGGATCGATGTGCTGAAAAATTAACGAAAATTCTAAAAATTAAATATACTTATTAAATTAAAAATTATAGTAAAAATCACTTATAAACTAAGAACTTAATTACTATTCAATGAAAGTATCAGGAGAGAAACGAATTTTAATTTTATGAATATTAATAATAATCATAATAATAATAGAACTAAAAATATAATAGTAATAATAATAACAATAATAATATGGTAATAAAAATAATAGTAATAATAATAGTAATAACTATAATAGTACAAATAATAATAATTATTATAATAGTACCTAATAATAATAGTAAAAATAATAGTAAGAATTAAAGCAATAGAAATATTAAAAATAACACAAATAATAAAAAAAAAATAATACCTATAATAATAAATTTAATAATAGTCAGTTAGTTTATTATAATTTTTAATTACTAAAATTTAGTTTCTAAAATTAGGATACTGTTTTCAAATTGTAAAAAATTAATACCCAAGACTTGAAAAATATTTCTCAAGTTGAAAAATTGGTTTTTAATTAAGAAAATTAGTTTTCAAACAAAAAAATTGGTTTTTTATTAAGAAAATTAGTTTTCAAACAGAAAAATTAGTTTTTAATTGAGAAAATGAGTTTTCAAATAGAAAAATTAGTTTTTAATTGAGAAAATTAGTTTTCAAATAGAAAAATTAGTTATCAAGTGAAACTTTAAATTTTTTGTTATAAAACTAAATTTTGAATGGAAACAAAATTTTTTGATTCGAAAATTTAGTTCCGAAGTGGAAAATTAGTTTAATTTTCATGTTTCAGGTTTCAAAGAAATTAGCTCCAAATAAAAATTCTTTTTTTTTTGTAAAATACTAAGTTTAAAGTAAATTTTCAATTAAAAAATTTTTCCTTGAGTAGAAAATGTAGTTTTCAAGTAAAAAAATAGTTTTAAGAAAAAAAAGTAAAAAACTAAATATGTAAGTAGAAACAATAGTTAGTAATCAGTTACAAATATTAATAAAAGAATATAAAAAATAATAATTTTCTACTAGAAAAATAAGTTTTTAATCAAAAACATTAGTTATTTAAAATTTTAAATATAGAAATTAGTTTTTTAATATAAAAATTATTTTTTACTTAGGGAAATTACTTTTTAAATAGAGAAATTAATTTTTTAAGTAGAAAAATTAGATTTTTAGTAGAGAAAATAATTTTTAAGTAAAGATATTAATGTTAGATTAAAAAAATCATTTTATTTGTTGAAAATCTACTTTGTAAAAAATCAATTCTTTTAAAAACTATTTGAAAAACAATTACTTTTTTAATTATATGAAAATAGTCAAATTATTTAAGAAAATTTCTGAAAATAATTTTTGGGCTAATTTAATTCAACAATTAATATTTTTCAATGAATTTTAATTAAAAATTTTGAAAATTTTAAAGTCAGAAAATTGTATTCGAATGCAAAAAATTATTTCTCAAGGCAAATAAAATATTTTTCAATTGGTTTCTAATTTGAGATATTAGTTTTCAAGTGAAAATTTAAGTTTTCAGGTAGAAAAATGAAAATTATTTTTTAAGTAGGAAATTAAATAATCTAGAAGTAGAAAAATTAGTAATTTATTAGTAAAAAAAAATAATTAAAAAATACCAATAAAATTAATTTTTTAGTAAAATTAGTTTTTACTTCGAAATTTTTAAAATGAAAAATTTTGGTCTTAATTTGGAAAATTATTTTTGAATTAGAAAATTAGTAGATATTTAAATAGAGAAATTGGCTTTCCAGCAGAAAAATTAATTTAAAAATAATTTAAGTAGAAATATTGAATTTATAAGTGGGAAATTTGCTTCTTGAAAAAATCTATTTCGAAAAAAATCAATTTTCCCTGAAAACTATTTTAAAAAAACCATTAATTTTCAAATTATGAAAGTAATTAAATTATTCTGGCTATAAAAAAAAAGAATTTCTACTGCTGGCACTGCATTAATTGAACATCGAGTTAATTATTCTGTTAAACATAACTGCATGATCAATTTAATATCAGTTCCCCAGTAAAAATACAATAATAGCTGCAAAGAATAATAATTAATAATACCAAGAATTTCAAACACAAATTGAAAATAGAAAAAGAATTCTAAAAAAACAAAGAATTGAAATACACGGAAAAAAAGAGATTTTAAATGAGAAATAAGAGAAAAGAAACGAAAAAAGAAATTTTAATGGGAAATAAGAGAAAAGATAATGAAAACGAAAAAGGGGAGAATAGAGGAAAACAGAAATTAAAAGAAATTATAAACTAGAGGAAATGGAATTAAAAAAATAAATAAATAAATAAAAAAAGAAGAAGAAGAACAAGCAATCACTCACTCAATTTTTTTTTCTTTCCACTAAAAAACGTTTATGTACGAGAACATGAATCGTCTTACGTCACACTCTACGTCCCTATACACGAAAATATCCTCCATTTGAATACCAATAATTTTTCTTTTGTATCATCTGCTTTTTTTCATTTTCTTTCTCTTTCATATATATATTCGCGTCTCAAAAAATCGCAGAAGGCTTTTGAAGAACGGTAAAGGGCGGCATTATTGGAGAGTCCATGATGAATTAGTTTATTTATATATATATAGGTTTTTCTCTTATTTTAATTACAATATCTACAATATTAGTGTCGAGGTATAAAGGAATAAAAAAGCTGTGCTCCAAAAAAAAGCAAAGCAACATACAAATCGCCTTTTATAATATAATAAATATTATTTTTCTTTTGTGATAATATTGTAATAATAATAAATTGAAAAAATTGTGCTCAAAGTATGGTATATATATATATAATATTTGGGAATTTTCAAAACAGACTGTGTGGTTTTTGATATATATATAAAAAAAAATATTTCTATTCCGCATATTTACAAAAGCGGAGGCTGTGACATAATGATATATAATAAAAAAGTAAATAATTACTCAAATATAGCATACATGTGTCATGGACAGTCCAGTATCCGACGTACAAAAAAAAAATTAAGTAGAGTCGCGTGTAAAAATCGTAGTAAAAAAAAATAAGTATTTTTTATTATTTTTGCAACATATAGAGTTCAATATATAATAATGAAAAATAAAAATTCAACACTGCCTATCTACGTTCGAGGAAAAAGTTCATTACAGCTGCTACTATAGAGTTTCGCTCGTGTTTTGTAACAAGAACCCCACTGTAAACAATCAGAATATCATTGCTTTTTTTTGATATTTTTTTTTATATTTCTGTTAAAATTTTTATTGGTTTTTATTTCAAGTTAAAAATTTATTTTTTAGAAGTCGTATTTGATTTTATATCAAATATCTCTTAATTTTTTTTTTTTTTTTAAATTGTAATTACGTAAATTCGAGGAATTAACAACTTGTATAATTTAAAGAATATATTTACTAGAAATAGTTTTTAATGTATAAAATATTTTAATATTTTAATATAAGAAAAATAAAAAATCTGTGTCTGACTACATCCTTTTTTCTCTACTGACTTTTTTAAACTATTTTTTTTCTTTTTTTCTACTATTTATTTTAATATTTATAATTTATAATTTTATATTAATATATATTAATATATAATAAATATATAATAACAAATTTAAAAAAGTAAATAATTAAAAAAAATCAGTAGTAAAACAATGATTTAGTCAGACAGAGCCTTAAATATGTGAAGTTAAGTTTCAGTACCTAGTTAAAGAGAATTTAAGTCTGCTAATTTTTAGTGTTAGAAATTTTTATTATTAGTAGTAGTAGTAGTAGAAAAAATTTCACTCAGAACTGAAGAAAAATTTTAAATTAGTAGGAAAAGTTAATTTGAATTAAACATAATTTTAGTGTTTTCTTTAAGCTAATTATAAATTAGTGATTGAAATCCGTTTTAGTCAGACAATTTTTAATTTATGAAAACATCAGTAGTTAAAAATATTTTTAGTCAAATAATAGTTTTTTATAATAGCAAGTATTAAATTATTATTAAATACCGATTATAAAAAAATGTCAGTAGTTAAAATGAATTTTAGTCAGACAATGATTTACAAAAAAAATAGCGTCAGTAGTTAAAAATAGTTTTATTCAGTCAATTTTTATTGATGAAAACTACTTCAGTTTTATTAGTAGTAGTAGTAGTTAAAAATAGTTTTAGTCAGACGTAAATTTATATTTTTTGTCAATTATTAAGTAGTAAAAGTTAGTTACAGTCAGACGTAAATTTGTATTTTTGGTAAATTTTAATAAAATCCAATCATAGAATTTTTTAATAAAAGAACAAGTGTTAGTAGTTTAAGAAGATTTTAGTCAGACAGTACTATTTAAGAAAAAAAAGGCAGTAGTATAAAAACTCTTTAGTCAGACAACTTTTATAAAAAAAAAACTTTTATAAAAACAGATTTTATAAAAAATGTGTCAGTAGTTAAAACAGACTTTAGTCAGACAATATTATTAAATTTCTGGTAAATGTTAATTAAAAAAAGAGTCTTACTCAGACTATACTTTTCAATTAAAAAAATGACAGTAGTATAAAAAGATTTTAGTAAGACAACTTTAATTTTATAAAATGTGTGAGTAGTTAAAAAGTATTTTAGTCAGACAATTTTCATTAAGGAAATTTCTTTAGTAGTAATAGTAGTAAAAAAATAATTTCAATCAGATATAAATGGAAATATATTTATAAGTAGTACAAGTCAGTTTTAGTCAGACGTGAATTTATATTTTTTGTAAATTTTTTCTAAAATTCGCTTTATTAAAAAAAACAAATGTAAGTAGTTAAAAAAAATTTTAGTCAGACAATTATTTTTTATAAAAACCGACAGTAGTATAAAAACATTTAAAACCCTTTAGTCAGACAAA